TTTCGACTTATTAAACTAGTACGCCGTACTAAACCGACTCGTACCTAATTCTATAGATGTTCGCAACCGTACTAACTATGCTATATCCGAAGTCTAAGACGTCTAGTTCTAGATCTATAATATACCGTCTAGTAAGCTGCCCCCTAACTTCGACTCCTCTTTTATCTAAAACATCGACGACCTTAAAATCTAACTTAACGCCTACTAAGCTCTTCTCTTAACCCTCTATCTCTCTCTTCTCTCCTATATAACCGGCGGTCGCTAGCGTATAAGAGCTCTTTACCGCGCTATAAAAACCTATATCCGTTAAAACTCCGTACGTTAGTAATACACTCGCTAGTTTTTACGAATCTTCTTTAAATTCTTCCCGTCCCTCGTAGCGTCTACCGACGAAGGCTAGCTTAAATCTAGCGTCTCTAATTTCGTTATATCTTTCCTTTCCGATTTCCGAACTTATAACGCTACTACCGAGATCCTTTTAGAGTAATCGATATAGATAGCCTACTCGGCTACGGCTCTTCTATAGTTAATATAAGATCGTATTAATAATTATTATACTTGTATTCTTCCCCCGCTATCTTTAACTTTTTATTATCTCTTCTCCTACTTTAGCCTACCTACCCTCCTCCGTATATATAATAACCTACTCCGAAAGAAAGTCTTCTCCCTCCGTAACTAAATTCTCGAAGCGTAGGCGACTTTCGAAGCGTTGTCGGCTTTATATTAGAGGGTTTAGAGTCGTTTATAGGGTTTAGGTATATAGGGCATAAGAGAGGAGGAGGAGTTAGTTAACACTTTAGCGATAAAGCTTATAGAGTTTTATCCTAGGGATAATCTAGGTACGCCGTAAAGGTTAGGGGACATAATTAAGAGACTTCTTACTAGTAAGGAATAAGGGATAGGTAGAACAGGATAGGATAGGACAGAATAGAATAGCGAGGAAAGGCAAGGCAAGGTAGTTTATCTCGAGGGTTTTCTTTAATAGTAATAAAGATTTAGAGGTAGAATACAGGTATCGTTAGGGAGTTTAAGTCGGGTAAGGAGGTTATCGGAATAATGCATATCTAGATAGAAATTCCGGCCTTGCTTAGCTAAGGCCTATAAATAAGATTTCGAACGCCGCTTAAAAAGACAATACTTAATACTTAATTACTAGAGGTAGTACGTCGGGGTTTAGATACTAGCCTAGGGCGTTCTTCTAACTAAATGCTTTTACGTTTTACCGCTTAACGTTGCTATATAACTCGCCGGCTTCGATCTGCTACCTCCGTTCCGCTTCTACCTCCTACCTCGCGATCTTAGCTTCCCTCTCTTCGCTAAGATACTCTAATAAGCTACTCGCTATTCTCTTTAGTCCTTTTACCTCTACCTCTTCTTCTACCTCGATATTATAGTCTATTACTAACTCTACTTCGTCTAGGAATTTAAAAAGCTACGTAAATATAGGAGTAATTATTGTTATACTTAATAGCTAAGAATCGACGTCTAGGTAGCGTTTAGTAAAAATTGAATCGTTAGTAAGATTAGCTAGGTTAAGAATAAGCTCTCTATCTACTAGCTTTCCGTCGGTAGCGTAGAAGTTGCATTTCCGTAGAACAGGGTCGATATAATATTTTATACTTATCGAATTCCTCCGACTACGCTATAGATTAATATTCGCTAACCTATCGTCCTTCTAATACGCTATACGAGCGGGTTCTAAATCGCAGCCGATTACGCATTTAATTAATACTTGCATATAGGCGATCTAATTATAGCAAACTTTATAGATATTATCCTTAGTCTAGGACTTTATAACCTTTAAGACAAGTAGCAGGTATATAGAACGACATTTGTAATAAAAGCTACTATCTAGTTGTTTCTTTACGACGACTTGCCTATTTTTATTAAGTATAATACTCGGACTACCTAGTCGCCTAATACCTATTAAGAATTCTTTAAGACGTCGTTCTATTCTATAGTCCGTACTACCTACCGCTTTATCTCGCTAGTTAGGGTTACAATAAAGGATTCGTAGATAGTATTAGGCATCTATAAGCTAAGTAGCCTATTGCTATAAAAGTATTTATATTATATATTATCGACCTACTACTAGTAAGTACTAATATAATAGTTCCGGAGATAGTCTTCGAGGCCGTAGAGGGAGTAAGGTAAGAGGGTAACTTAGAGATAGCGGCTATCTTATTAGTAGAAAGAAGCTATACGCGAAGTAATATTATAAAGGTAGGTATCCTTTTCGATGGTATACGAGTAATCGTAAGTACTACTATCGGTATTAATATCGGTGTCGGCGTAGATATAGGTATATACGCTATCGCGCTCGGCGCTCCTCGTCGCCGTTACTTTAGGAGCTAAGTATATAGAGAGATAGTAGTAGAGAGGGCGGAAATATACTATTTAATAGTCGTTCGAGTATTACTACGCTCGAGGATATACCGGTAGGCGGTAGATATAGAATATTAAATGCTAGATGCTATTAGTAACATAGCGCACGCCGTAGTACTCTAGTACTCGGCGGCGGTAATCTCGGCGGAAGCGGAGGTAATAGGCGCTAGCGTTAAGTCGGCTTCGAGAACATCCGTAGCTAAGCCTTTAGCAATAGTTAGGCTTTAACGAATAGTCTTGCTTGCTTGCGTTTTAATGCTATCGCTATACCGTACTCTTTAATTAGCCTCGTCTATCGTCCGTCGACAAGAATTACTATAATACTTTATCGGCTCCGCTAAAATATGTAGCAAGGTAGATATTAGAGTCGGCGCTCCGCTATAGTCGATACTTAATCGGACCTCCGACGCGCTAGCGCAGTAGCTATCCGTTAAGCAATTAAGCAGTACGAAGTATAAGGTATAAAGTATAAAGTATAAAGTATAAAGCATACTATATCGTCGATAGGTATAAAGATATATAGATACCTCGCTACCTCTCTATTCTCTTTCTACTACTCCTACCGATAGCCGCTACCTACTAGCTATATCTCCTCGTACGCCTAAGTTACGTAAGGCTAAGAAGAAGGTCGAATACTATATCGATTCTGCCTTAGAGTACGAAGACGACGGGACTCCACTTGCCGAATCCGATAATAACGACTTCGTTCTCGCCTTCGCCGGGCTCTCGGTTAATGCTATTATAGAAGGTACGAACGGAAAGAGAGAGGACATGTTTCGCGGCTAACGCTAATTCCTAGGCCGCCGCTTTACCTAGTCTAAGCAGGCTAAGGCTCGCATTGTCTATTATACTCTTGCCGGCAATGCGTAAGTGTCTCTTTCGACGTTTACGAGTAATATCTAGCGTACTAATCAATCTCTAGCCCGTTTACTACTCACTCTCTACTAACTCTATACTAGCTCCTAGAGCTAGTATACGACCTAGGCTTGCCTCTAAACCGCGGCAAGGAAATCGCTAAGACATATATAACTAAATTAGTAGGCTGTATTCAGTCCGTAATGTCTTCTAAGTGCTTAATAGGCTTAATTAAGGAGCGCCGCCGCAGCGATAGAACTTAGCATATCGCTATATCGAAGGCTTTAATTAAAGAAGCCTCCTCCGACTCCTTCTCCTAGCGCTTAATTACTAGCGGTAAGGTCGCCGAGGATTACGCTAACCGTAGTAGGACATTCCGCGAGCTTAAGAATAGTAACGAAATAGGTAAGACCGAGTTAATTAAGCAGACGATAGACTTGCTCGTCCGCGGTAATATAAGTCTTTCTTTAGCTATACGATATTGCGGCGCCTAATCCTAATTGCTCTTTTAGGTTATTACTAAAGACGCCTATAAGAGTCTATATACGCCTAAGGTCGATCTGTCTTAGCTTAAGTTACCTTCCCCTATAGTTACCTTACTTATACTGCTACCTGCCCTAGGTAGGTTACGAAAGTCGGGCTACTATAGTAGCTTTGCCGCCTCTAATACTAAGTCTAAACGCTCCGTCGCCGGCTATAATAACGACAGCGATACCGATACCGATACCGAACCTAAGCCTTTTCTTTCTAGGGCTAAGAAGTAGTAGAACCCTGCTACCCTATCTAAGCCGGCCTCTAAGTATAAGAAGTCGTTCCTAGGTAACGATAACGAGGTTTTAGGTCGGAAGCTATAGAAGTTAACCTTATTTAATAAGTACGTAGCGGTTAACTTAGATATCGAGTACGAAGTTCCTACTACGAAGCGCTCTTCTAAAACGGATAAGAAGCATCTCTACGCCTAGTCTAAGAGCGAGGACGGGTTTCCTTCTACTAAACATAAGATGCTAACGTTAGTTAAGAAGTAGCTCTACGCCTAGTCTAAGAGCGACGACGGGTTTCCTTCTACAAAACATAAGATATTAACGTTAGTTACGAAGTGGCTTGTAGCTGCCGCTATACTATCGACCTCTAACTACAACTATCCTACTTAGAAGTAGACAAAGTCGATCTCTATTAGTAAGCTAATATCGGTCTAGTCCGATAGCGAGGAGAATATTAACGCTTCGAAGCTAAAGAAGTTCTTGTCGGAATCTATTATATAGGAGCAGGTCGACGGCTTTTTAAAGAAGATTTTAAAGTAGGACGACGGCTTATTAAAGAGGCTTCTAAAGCAGGTCGATAGCTTATTAAAGTAGCCTATTAAGTACGTCGACGACTTACTAACGAAGCTTCTAAAGTATATCTCGTTTAACGAGGGCTCTAGTTAGCTTCCTGCTAATTCTAATACTAACTATACTAACTATAGCGCTACCGATACCTAGTCCTTCCCTACTACTACTATCGTCGATAACGTAGTAGGAAGTATTCTAAACAAGCTTCGTAGCTAGATTAATTTTATAAAAGTCTGCGGTATACTACTAGCGGAGATTGCCGATACCGTCCTATAGAAGATAGCGGCCGAAGAAGGTAGCTCTACGCCTATGCCTCGCCCTAACGCTATAGTAGAGAATAGCGTTCCTAATTACCTATATAGTCTCGTCTAAGTTCTCCGGAGCTGTAGGATAACGCCGAAAGAGATTGCTGCTACCTTAATAAGAAAGATGTCGGATAAGTAAAACGTAGCTTCCTCTAATACGACCTCTACTAGTATTAATCTTCTTATACTTTAATACTTGCTTCGGCGAACAAGCTTTGCGATACAAATAGTATTAAGGATCGCAACTAGCTATATAGTATACCTTAGATACTATACGACAATATTAGAAGAAATAGAAAAAAAGAGGACACGTTTAATAGCTTATAGAAAGGGAAAATAGCCTTCTGTAACGACTAGGATATCTTTGCGATACAACTAGCATTAAGGATCGCAACTAGCTATACGATATCCCTTAGGTGCTATACGACAACGTTAGAAGAAATAGAAAAAAAGAGGACACGTTTAATAGCTTATAGAAAGAGAAATAGTATTCTATAACGACTGGGATATCTGTGCTATTTTATAGTCTTATAGATGTAGAATCGCAGTTTACCTACTAAGCAGATTCAGTTAGTATTATATATTATCTTTTTCGTAGGTCGGTTGTTATTATTGTACCTACGGGAAAGGTGTTGTTAGAGCTCGCTAACTAACTAGCTAACGGTAGTAGCTAAAAACAGCGAATTGCTAAGGCTAAACAATCGAGGCACTTACTATTATATCTATATTCGCGCTTCAAAATCTTCTATTCACTTCGTTAATAATATCTAGTGCTTGCTATATAGAACGCTATAGTAACGCTATATTATTAACTACTTTTGCTCCTAGCGCCGCGTATAAAGATTAAGCTCTTCTTAGATCTCCGGCATCGACTAGTAACGAGTATTAATCCGGCAATGCTAATCCCTAGGAATATATACTACCTTAAGTTATCTAATATATATAATATCGAGCTATCTTAGCCCTTAGTCTCGTTAAGGTAGTTACCTACCTTACGTTAGAGGCGCGCTATCGCTATAGAAGCTAGTATCGTTATAGCCTAAGTTGTATATACCTTCGTTAGTATTAAGACATCCGTAGTCCCGTCTAGAGCTACGAGTCCTTAACCTATACAACTAGGAGTTAGTACCTCGTACATTTGCTTATTAGTTGCTATCCCTTCTATAGCGATCCTAAGGCCTTTCCCGTTATTCCTTCGAGCTTCGGTAGTAGTAATTTGCCGATTTCAGATATATAGGAGGAGACCTATAAAAGGAGAAGTTAAGAGTAGATACCGGTCGTATTCGGACATATAGGAGGAGATATATAGGAGGAGAATTTAAGAGCAGATATATACGCTATTAAGCTATTACGCCTAAATACGTCTTTTCCTATAGGTGTCCGCTAATAGCGAAAGTATTAGCGCTCGAAACAAAGTATAAAGAGATAGCTACGAAAGTTAATATATACGAGGACATTATTGCTCGTATATAGGCGTTTTTAGAGCATCCTAGGGAAGGGCTCGGTAAGATCGTAGAGGTCTTAATAGCTATGCATCCGTATTACGCGATATAGTTTACTAGATTACGATTAAGACCTATAAGACATGCCTCTACTACCTCCTCTAGACACTTAGAAGGCTTCTCCGCTGCTACTACGCTATATGCGATACGTCCGTTCGCAGCCTAGCTCTTAGAAGTGTAGAAGACAGACACGGATATATGCTTACCAAATTTCCGCTATACGAGATGTATTATAGTTATAGCCTATTTCGCTTAATTCCTCCGACGGCCGGAAACCGTATCCTAGGACTCGACGTAGCATTAAAGATATCATTTCCTTAGCCTTTTTAATATCTTTAGAGTTATTTCGCAACTATGTTAATTGTATATATAGTATATTAGCGGGTTAGGCTACTTCCTCGGTTGCCCGCTAATATTGGATTAGGCGGCCTCGGAATCATCGGCTTTTTATTCTAATACGCTAGTCTGTAGACGAATGTATTCAAAAGAATTTCGCGTAACATTAAGAACTAGCTTTGCCTTGTCTCCGACACTAGCATTGCAGCTCCTACTATCTTTCGCTCTAAATTAGGGACCGATCTTTAGGTGTTCAATCCACTTAGTAACGATACTCGAGTAGCAGTTACTACCACTTCCGCGAAAGAACCGCAACCTTGTATATTTACGAATAACAACGCTAGAGTCCGGTCTTGTGTACTCGGTTAGTGTTTACGGGAAATCGCTAGGGCACAGACTAATAACTAATGTAACGCAGTATTGCCTATACTTCTACTGCACTATAGTAAGGATTATATGTTCTGGTTAGATCTACGCTAACGTTTAAGGTCCTTTAAACCTACTATAGACAGCCGAAAGCCTACTAGTCGCTACGGGGAAAACTAAGAACTCCGGCAGAGGCTTAGCGAGAACCTATACCGCTATTTTACACTAAAATCTACTCTTCCGTACTCTTCTAAGGTTCGTAGACTTCTCTAATATATCTTTAAAAGCGTATTATCGATAAAACAGTAGTATAGGCCCTTCCGAGGTGTTATTACGTACAGTATAAAGCTAAGACTAATTAACCCTGCTTTATAGACCCTCCTTAAGGCCTATTTCGCTCGTAGGTTTACTTCTAAGCAGATAATAGCTGAAACACGAGTGCTAATAGCAGTAAGGTCGATATATAGGTACTAGCAGAAGTAGCGGTTGTTTAGCGAGTTATATATAAAGAATACTAGCGCGGTTAAAGGGCATCCGAGGCGCCTTCTATATAGCGAGGAAGAATAGCTCTATAACTATCTCTACGAGCGTCCGGACGCCTACTTTATAGAAATAATCGCTACTCTTTACGACGAGTTTAAACGGCTCCGTCCGGTTAACGAAGGAGGTAAAGGCGTAGTACTAACGCCGAGTCTGCTATATAAAACGTTAAAGCGTTAGGGATAGACTCGTACGAAGATACAAACGAAGGCGAAGGAGCGGAACCTGTTACTAAGGGCATTATAGGTTATTAGGTATACGAGTTAGCTAGCGGATAGGTTAATCTTTATCGACGAGACTGCCTATAATTAGAAGACTAGTTAGCGGAAGTATAGATAGTCGCTAAGAGGCATTGCTTGTATAGATTATTAGTATGCGAGAAGGGAAGTAAGGTAGTCTGTCTTACCTACCTTTACGCTCTACGGCTACTTGCCTTGTACGTATGTATACTAAGGATCTATTAATAGTAACCGATTTAATACCTAGCTAGAGAAAGAGGTGCTGCCGTTGCTAGTTAATAGTCTATCGATAATCTTTATAATAGATAATGCTAGTATCTACTATAGAAGGAGGGTAAAGGAAGCTATCCTAGAAGCAGGTTACTATCTCGAGTTTCTTTCGCTATACTTACCGGATTTGAATCCTATCGAATAGACCTTTAATCTGCTTAAGAAGACTATTAAAAAGTATCGCTATAAGCTACCGCTTTTCGAAGGGTTCTAAGCCTACTTAGTGTAGTGTTTATATAAGTATAGAGGCCGTAGGGCGCGTAGATTGTTCAAATACGCTAGTTATAACGTAGAGGGTCGAGATTTGCCGTACGATCCTAAAGCCTTCGAAATAAGCGCTAGATCCGCATAAAACATACTAAATATAGATGCTAAAGAGTCGGCATAGTATTCGTAGTATAAGAGTACGCCGCCGGCGGTATTAGATAACCTAAATGATTATATATAGAGTAAGGAAGACTATAAATAAGAACTAGAAGAATCGGATATAGATTTCGAGGACTTCGAGTAACCGCACTAATATAGACTAGTGCTAGCAAGCGCCGGAGGCAGAGATTTAGGTAAATAGTTCGAACGCTAGCTTTGCTATACCCTCTTATTGTTCTACAACTAACGCATTCAATTTAATATACTAAATTAGGTCTAAATAAGTGTAATTACAGCAAGAATCTCCCGCTTATTACAAGGTTGTATGTATTATAGTAATAAAAAGAATAGTGCGTAAAGAAAGCCCGAGTTCGCTTAAAATTCGCCCTCCTCTATAGCGGCTCTTTCCGCGGCGATAATATTATCGTCCCTCTTCTTTAACTATTCTCGAATAGCCTCTTTTAGTCTTAGACGCATTCCACCTATTTCCTTAAGCTCGTAAGGCTAGTTAGATTAGTCTATATTAGCAATAGCATCGAGCCGCTATACTAAACCTACGAAAACCCTAATATAGGCGCGTAGAGAGTCCTAATCCGCGAATTCCGGCTAGAGGGTATACTAGTTAAAGAACTCAGTTATAGCGGCTTTAGAGATCACTATACGAGGCACCTTAACAGGCGCCTTATAACCTAAGCGATATCTAGTAAGAGCGCGAGTTAGAGTCTTCGATAGCGTACTAGGAATACGACCGAGGCTATTGTTCTAAGTGTAGAGTATGCTACCTATAAATTCGCCTATTATCTTTATTATACTACTGTTCTTACTACCTAGCGAGTCCGTATTACTACGCCGCTACGTTCTTGCCTAATACTTCTTCTCGACCTTCCGAGTTATTAATATTATCTCTACCGAGACTAGAAGCCTGTCCGGCTAAGAGCCGTCTTTATTCTAGATATACTAGCCTTTAGTAATAGCTTAACTTAGCTTAATTATTACAGCCTCGTAGAAGGGGAAATGGTTCTCGCCGAGCTCCTTTGCCGAGCGATTAAACTAGTAAGCAGCCTCGCCGGCCTTATTGCTATTTAGACAGTCCTTCCGAGTATAGAGCTACTTATTGATTATCTTAAAGTCGTACCTACTAGACGACTCGAGTTTAGCGATAATTAGACTAATATTCCTTATTTAAACCGCATTAGGGTTCTTCTTTAACTTCTCGACCTCCTTATTCTTCCCTTTACTTCTAGCTACTACTAATTGCTTAGGCTTTATATAGAACTCGAGGTTAACGAATAGGCGCTTCCTTCTAGCCTTTATAAGATTAATCGCATAGTCGAGAGCTTGTCGATAAACAAAGTCGCTATCGATATCGTTACCTACTTAGTACTAGTCGCTAGTAAACGTATTCTTCGCTCCTTCCGTACTAGTACGGATTATAACTCGGTAAGGTCGATTATAGCTATTAAGCTAAGCAAACTTCGCCGCCTACGAGTAGCTATCCTATAGCTCCTTATCTCTCGTAGTAAGGAACCTTATTAGCTTCGTTATAAGCGATCGATTAGCGCCCTTCTTAGACGGATTAAATATAGTCTACTACGTATTATAGTAGAAGACTTTAGGCTTATTAGTTAAGTTAAAAGAGCTAGGCGCAGTTATAGGCACGTTGCTAGCAGCGAGGGCCGTTATACTGCTAGTAGCAGCCTCGGCTTCTAGTACCGTATTAAAAGAGGAGGAAATAGAGGCTTTAGTAGAGGAGGCGGTAGAGGAAGAAGCACCTATTTTGCTAGGTATAACGTTACTATTATCCTCTGCCGGCGTTGCTACGGTCTCCTTGCTTAGTGCCGCTACCGACTTAGTAACTAGCGCGGCAGTCTTCTTGCCCTTCTTGCCGGCTCTAATAGACCTATTAGATCTACCCTTTATACCTTGTCTTATTAGCGGCGGACTTATAGGCTTCTCGAGAAGCTCTACTACCTTCTTCTTTAACGTAGAGTTATTTAGCTCTTCTTCTAATCGTAGTACTAGCTTGCCTATAGTCGATCGAGTCGGTCGTAGACCTATATTAGCGGCAATTTAGCGCTAGAATGCTAGAAATCGATGGAAATACGCGTACGAGGCTTTAATATACGATTATCCTCTATTAAACGATAGTTAGTAGGAAGAAACAGCGATTCTGTATATAAAACATCCCTATATTGCCCCCTACTAATCGATAGTAAGAGAAGGCGGCTCTGCGGACCGTACTAATAGGCTTTCGGCCGTCTATAGTATCTTGCTTAAGAATCTAGGCACTTTCCTAGATAGAGATCTGCAGTATTACAACAACCTACTAAACCTAGCGCTATACGATGTAAGGTATATATAGCCGGCTAGATCCTTACTAGATTTTGCCGTTTCGGAGGCTAGAACTAGCGACTTAGTGTTTAAAGTCGATCTACAATCTTAGACAACCTGTTGCGTTCGTTAAAGGTCTTGTTCGCAGTCCTTCGCTATATAGCAGGCAGATTCGATCTTAGGTCCGTAATCTAAACGAGTATTACTTCTGAGCTACGTACTATTAGTAGGCTGCTAAAGTCGGTCCGAGAAATTATAGAGGCTTAAGTAATAGAGGCTCTATTTGATCGTGCCGATAGTACGGCGAACGAGAAGCCGCTACCGAACGTACTACGAAAAAGTAAATTTCAGGATTAGATTTATAGGTTATTTAAGCTAACATTAATAATGTCTTTATTTCTCGCTAGAGTTACCCTAAAAGTCTCGAAGCCGCTATTAGAAACTCCTCGGTTGATATATAAAGGACTTGCGGATTCCTCTAGTAGCAAAAGCTTAAGGCCCGCAGAAGGAAGTCTCTAGGAGCGGCAACGCCGGCGCAAAACCCGGCAAGGCAGAGCGTAGCGAGGCAGTAATCTAGTATAGAATATGCGAGAATTTAAGGAACGAATTCCTACGTTACGGACTGCTAATTCGCGAGGTCTCGCAATAGGACTAACCTCCTCGGCGCTTAACGTACTTACTAGCAGGCGTAAAAGCATAGGGATATACTACAAAGCAAGTTATGCCTCGTATACAGCGTATATAGTAGATGTGTATCGATATTGCGCTCGGCTACTTGCTACAATTCTCTATTACTCGGCGAAGGAGAACGTGTTTGCATTCGACGAATATATATTGTCTAGAGCAGCCGGTAGCCTCCTCCTAAACCTATAAAACAGCCGCATCTTTGTTCTCCGCCGAACTATCTCTCTTAAAGGCAAGAATCTCCGTAGAGGTAAACAGCATTCGAGGAATTACAATTCGACGCTCGCCGGTACCGGTCTAAGTGTTACTAGCCTCCTAGGGAATAGCTTCTAGTCGATAGATATAGCTTGCTAATTTATTAAGGCTATAGGTATAGTATATAGCTAACTTGTTACATCTAGGTCTGCTCCGTTTATTAGTATAGACTTCGCTATATAGAAGCACTTTAGAGGTCTTTTGCGACGAGACGACAAAGACATATTAAAGCTACAACTCTTAACTAAAGTAGCTAATGCCTTCTACAAGCGCTAGTAGGTTTTATCTAGTATACTAACAATTGAACGCCTCGAAATGCCTCGTAGCGAATAAAGACTCGCAAGGCTAGGAATTAATATATTACTTCTCCTATAACAAAGATCGGAAGACTATTGTACTATATTAGAGTTGCGGCAAGGCAGACGTAGTCGATGCGTTAGAACCTAGGACGTTGCCCTTCCGGCTAGCATCTTTAAATCCTTGCTAGATTAAATAACTACAAGTAATCTCCGAGACTAGCCTATTGCCTGTTCGCCTTATTAAGCAGACCGCTTAAGGACAATATACTTTTCTCCGACTGCCGGTAAGGTAAGTTAGCTTCTGCGACTAGCTACATAGAATGCTTAGCTTTAAGTATATCTTAAGGACATACAACTCTTGTATAACTTAGCGGCTAAAGCATAGGTATCGGTATCGGCCCGAGCACTTTCCTAAGCTATACCGAGTTCGATAGCCGAACTACTAACAATTGTAGCGATACTGACGTTCAAAACGCCTATATACTTAAGAGGCAAGTCTAAACTCCCGCCGGTTGTTCTATAATGTATCTCTTAGCCCTCTATAGGGTTATTAATACTTCCGTACGATCTCTACGCCTAGAATTGCTTTTGCCTCTTATAGGCCGACAAGTTCTAGACCTATCGCAAACATCTTAAGAGAGAGAGAGAGTAGCAAGAAGACGAGATAGGCTAGCAGGTCGATCGCATATAGTTTAGGAGGCCGGAAGCTATTATATATCGCAGACGAGAGGTTTTATAGTAACAATTAGTGCTAGATATCGAACTGCTTCGACAATGACCCGAAATCCGTGCTAATTTATAAATTAGCGATTACTAAGCTTACCTCAAACCCTCGCTATAGCCTAGGGAAATCTAGGCGTAGCTCGCTATAAGGCTATATACACTACCTTCTACGATAGCTAAGTTTTGCACCTCCGTTAATAACATCGATAAATCTTTCGTAAAGGGAATCTTAATAGTAAGCTCTAACCTTAACGCCTAAATATATATACGTATAAACCTCAACCTAGCTAGATGTCTTATATAGCTTAAGTGTTCCGTTCCTTGTCGTAGGTTACCCGGATTATCTTCTCTATATTGTAGTCTGCGTAAATGCAACATCGAGTGCTTCTAAGATAAGATTAATAAGGCTATAATTTACCCGATCGAGATGGCTTAGAAGGCACTTCTCTGCGATATCGTATGCTAAGCAAACTTGCAATCCCCGAAGAGCGCTTACTGCTTGCAAATTAAGCTCTGCCTCGGAGCGACTATTTCCTCTAATTAATAGAGAGCGTCGTTAAACTATTGCGCCGCCACGATCGATTCTATAAGCGACCTCGTTAGCTTTTTTAGTATTAGTCTATAAGTTAGGGCTAGTCTTCCTCTATAAGCAAGAGTTGCTCGTAGACATATCTAAACAAGGTTCTTAGCTAGCATCGAGATTGCGTCTTCCGAAGAACATCTCCGCGATTATAGCATTTCTACGATTATAGTTCTATTCTACGATTATAGTTCTATTCTACGATTATAATTATGCTATTTCCATTTATAGCATAGCATCTTACGAATATAGATAGAATTTCCGCGATTATAAAATAGAAACTTTTTACTCTAAATTAACTCGTCGATCTTCCTTAGGATAAGCATTCTTCGTAAAAGTCGCCTAGGAAGCTATGTCGGTTGTAGTCATTTAAGACTCTAGTGTCTGCGCCTCTACGAATAATAAGCTAGAGGATGCTACTACTATGCCACTCTAGCCTTATAGCTTCGATAAGCCTACTACGTTGCCCTTCGCTACATTCTTAGGAAAGATACCTAGAGGGTATAGGACAGGATCATTTCGTACTAGCTACTTTCTTTTATATTATTAATCTTACTAAAAAGATGTATTCTTATAGACGAATTACATTTAATAGACCTATAAAGCCTACGAAATAAAAGACGTACCGAAACGATAAATTCTATCGATAAGAAGATCAACGCAAGTTGATTCTATCTTCCTTATACTGTCGTTGAAGTCTGACACACATGTCATCGACCAAGAACATCAGACCGTCTATTATAACTGCCAAACAGGACGCCAAGTCTACCAAGCATACGTCTCGTCTTCCTTCCTCCTCCTATTCGGATACGGAAGAGTACAACACAAGTACCTTGCTTCAATGGTCTACTGCTGACTATCATTACTAGGTATCTGACAGGTATCGGCTCACAGTTTGAGAACTTGGCTCCGAACAGCAAGTACCTACAGTCCTTAGAGATTCTAGAGTCGAGCCAGACAAGTATCGTCGAGGCAAAATTGAAAGTCGAACCCGGTGTCCCTGCTTTTTTCGCCGACTAGGTAAATTCAGCAGCTTGAAGCAATATGAAGGGGAGTCTAAGGATAATAATCAGAAAGTCGATCTAGGTTGTCTTCTTTCAGACGCTCCGTGGGTGCCTGAGGTTCTGAAAGAACTTAGATAGCATAGTGCATGTCCTCGAAATTACATTCAAGAACTGCAGAGCAGAGATATCTGTTAAGGAGTTCGTCGCTCAGGATGCTTATAGCGGTCGGCGAAATGGGTTGGGCAAGCAAAGGACATCTTCCACCCGTCTACCTAATCTGTCCACCTGTCCATTCAGTAGCGGGTTTCGCCGCCTTTTTCCGATACAGAGATGCGGAGCGGCATAAAGTCTATCTCGCTGCGTTACAAGATTGGTGTTATAACAAGTTCTACGGCAGTGAAAAGCGACCTTATAGTGCTACAAGCTCCGATTTGAAAGTCCATCGACAAAAGTAGCTGTTTTGAGAGCAAAGCATATCGCCGTATGATTTTGGTCGCCTCGGTCTTGCTGATGAGATCCTTGATCTGGAGTGATTTCGACTGCTCCGGATTCCTCAAATCGCCCTTTATTCGTACGAGTTGTTTTGTCTATAGCATTGACGAGATAAGGAGTCGGAGAAAGGCAACAGATTCTGCGGCTATGCAACACTGAGCGCTCGCTAAAGCTCCCACAATGCAGACTCTAAACGGCAATTTGCTGGTGCGCTGGGTCTGCACTGTCTTCACTGATCACCTGTTTACGCATAGCATCCTGCCATTTTACGATCAGACCTGTCCTGTGCTAGAAATGCACCCACTATGACCTTTTCATAATCAGCGCCATTCGTTCTGCAAATGCTGCCGCGTGTCAATCACCTTGCACGGCCTAGTGCCCTCTCCCTCGAGGGTTTGTAAAATGGCATAGTCTAGAACCAAATGGCGAAGACCATTCCTGAGGTTTTTAACGGGCAGGCGCCATTTCGCAGTTCTTACGACTATGGAGGCAGAGCTGCAAGGCAATCAAAGAGCAGGCGGACCAAGGTCATGTTCCCAACGCATAGAGAACAAAATAGTCTCCTAGTTGATGGTCCAAAAGCAGGCGGTAAAATCTCAGGATCTGGGATCTGTTTCTCTCCTGCGGCCCCCAAGGTATCGGGTTCAAGACGCTGTATTGCACACTGCATGGCCGCAAGATGATGATTTCTAGCCTTTCCCACGCATCACCTCGATGTCTGGAAGAATTAGTTGCCAATTCTCTGCGATGCTTGACCTTTCTCCAGCGTAGCTTTCGCTAGACAGTCGAGAGCAGTTTTCTGACAAGCTCAATACTCGCCGCTCGTTACCTGTGAGACCGTGGCATTACCTGTCAGTCGTCCGCGGGGAAGCCTGCGAGTGGAAGCAGCTCACCGCCACCAAATTTCTTGGCCATTTTGTTCTGTCTTCCGCGTATCTGCCATTCTGCAGCTGAGGTTGTTGCTGTAAAGCAGTGGTATAGCCGTTTCCGAGTGTGGCACTGTCAAGGCATGTTCTCGAAGGTGGCAGCTCTGCGGACCGAGAGCGAGAGGCGAAAGCCAAGCCCACTCGTCCAGTCCCGCAAAAGCGCAGTTCAATGCGGAGTAACTACACCAAAACGCACGGCGAACCACCAAAACGCACTCGGATCTACTTAAAACCGCACCCAATTCCATCAAAAAGCGCAGTCCAATGCTTGCTTGAAGCGCGAAGGGCAAAAGTGCACTCCAAACTACCAAAAAGCGCACAATTCCCTAGGATCTTGCTAAGAAACCAAACTGGACGTTTTTTTTTCGGGTTGTACCTAGTCTATTGAGGCATGTATAGAACACTAAGCTTATCTGGATGTGAGCGCTGTGTGCTATATACGAGCGAGAGGGAGCGAGGACGGAGAAATTGAAGCTACTCCTCGCTTATTCGCTAACACAATCAAGTCGCGCAGCCTTTTACTCGGCTACCGCAGGTATATACTCTATTACCTCCTTCGCTAGGTCCTGCCACTCCTTCCGATACGCTAGGAGTTGCTCCTCTACCTTAGTAATTCGACTGTTATATTGCCGAGTAGTATAAGAAAGGGCTAGTGCTATATTATAACGCTACTATTGCTTAACCGCGAGAGTATCGCTCCGTCCTATAAGCGTTTCGATCTAAGTCTCCGTTTCGCGCAAATTCTAACGGACAAGCGGGAGCTTCGTGTTATCCTTTTAATCGCTAAGCTGCATTATTATAAACGCTTTTAAGTTACGTAGCTTATAGAATTCTCGTTGCTAGTCGTTACAGAGATCTTCGTTACGTTTACTAATATAGGAAAGGACTATACGAATAAGCTTAGCAGCTACCTTTAATTCCTTAAGCCGGTTAAGATAACGAGTCTATTCGTCGATAGTCGTAAATATCGATGTCCGTATCGATACCCGCTTAAACGAGATTTAGAATAGTAACTGCTTAGGGCATTCGGTAGCGATATCTAGATAACTCTCGAGACCGGGAGCGTAGAAATCGAACATTTTCCCTCTTTGCTACGTAATCTGCGCTACTAACATATAAAGGCACTGTCGCTATATATTAAGGTCTCTAGCGTAGGTGATATGCTCCGTTATTAGCTCTCCGACGATTATAATAGCGATACGCGTACAGGTGTCGGCATCGCGAAGCTCGGATGCTAGTAGAATCACTTCTTGCTATATTACTTGCTCCGTGCTAGCTAATAACTTAGGCTACGTAGAGATTTGTGCACGGCAATATAAGACTAGCTCGGGATCTAAATTTAGCGTATTGCTATCGAGATAGTAAGGCACATAGACGATAACGCGGTCCGAGGTAATAATAGCGAGTGCGCGGTCGTCATAGGTATTATCGGTCGCTCGAAGCAATATAAGAACTTTGTTGCCGGCCTTTGTAGCCGCTTTAACGCGTTCGCTAGCTAAGATTAGGCTAGGCAGCGATAGCGCACTAGGAGTAAAGAGCTCGAACTAAGGCTTTAGCGAGAGTGCTAATGTGTTGCAGAGCTCGGAGAGAGTAGTACGTAATCGCTTATATCTCGGAGCTATAGTAGAGGTGTAGCTTATAGGATCCGCGGGAGGGTAGTTTTAGTCGCGTACTAAGACGTACGGGTAGTAGGGGTTTAGGCAGTCGTCGGTTATAGTAGGGAGACGTATAGCACGAGAAGGACTTCTACCGAGCCTTATAGGATCTATAGGAGGGTAGTTTCGGTAGCTTACCGTCCCGCTTAGGTAATAGCCGCATAGGCGGTTATCTGTAATAGTAGGCAGATGTATAGTACGAGAAGGACTTCTACCGAGCCTTATAGGATCTATAGGAGGATAGTTTCGGTAGCTTACCGTCCCGCTCGGGTAATAGCCGTATAGGCGGTCGTCTGTAATAGTAGAGAGACGTGTAGCACGAGAAGGACTTCTGCCGAGCCTTACTAACGAGCAAGACGCCGCGGCTAGAAGAGGGCGGCGTGAATAGAGGTAGCGCGTATTACTATCTAGGGAGATATAGAATTGATTTTCGGCCTCGTTCTCGTCGGAGAAGTCGTCTTTCTTAGCGGGCAAGTCGCCTTTCTCGTCGTAGAAGTCGCGTTTGTCGCATGCGCGTTCGGCAGACCTAACCTTGCTAACACTATTACTATTAGGATTAAAAAGAACGAGTCTGCCGCGTTTCCCTTAACGAACCTCCGTAGAGCAATTGTTTTGCTACATTAGAGCCTTAGCGCTAATAGCTAATTAACGATACTCGCTTTTAAGGTGTGTTATATAGGACTAAGTCGCTTCTACGGCCTATTAACTCCTCGTACGAGATAGGCTTTAGGCATTATTATTATTATCGTTATCTTCAACTTGCCTACTTCTAGAGATTAACGCAAGTATAGCGCCTAGCTTCTAACACTCCTCGGTAGCTAAGGTAGCGTATCGCTCTCTATCCTAGACGGTCTCTAGAACTAGACGCTAATGCGGCCTATCTTCCGTTCCGTTACCGTAAGCGAGCAGAAAGGTAAATACTTAACGCTAGACGAGCGGAACAAGTATCTCGAGCCGCTGCCTATAGTATCTAAGATCCGACTACTACTCGGCGAGCACGAAAGCGATATAGTATACGCCGCAATCGTAGGTATTGCCCTGCCGACTGTTATAAGCTACCGAGCTGTTCTGCTATAGGCTATCTGCCTATAGCTAAAGGTTTGCGGAAGTCTATTCTATATCTTAGAGGAATCTGCGGGCTGCCTGCTATACGCTACCTCGCGTACTCTCGTCCTAATAGGGGTCGTAGACTTTAACTTAGCGGGATATAGTAGACGCGATAACTACTGTCTAGTAATCATTTCTATGTTTAATAGGAATTACGATTCGAGTCTAGCTTAGTCGCAAAGATCTTAGCTAGAATAGACTGCCGTTCGCGCGGCTAATAGTCCTAGTACTAACATACGTTAAATCGACAATTAAGTTTTGTTTCTTATCTAGATTCAGTCGACCTAGCACTTCCTCTATTGCGGTACCTAACAGCCAGTTCTTGTCTTAGAGGGAGTAAAGTGTATATTCGATCGTATACTATAGTACTAGGCCGGTGCGAGCGGTGCGAGCGGTGCCCGTAGACTTCGACGTCCCGTATACCTATTCGGCTACGCCGCTAGTGCTATAAGGGACTGTCGTTAGTATTAGGATCCCGAGATTCTCTTAGAGAGCGGCATTACTAGTAGGTAGTCGATGCGACGTATATAATAGCGCTCCTATAAATCTAGTAGATGTTATTGCTAAAGCAGAGTTATTAAACTAGCGAATATCACACTATAATAAGCCTAGCTCTATAGAAGTATCGGAGACCCCGTTAGCATTATCTTCTAGATACTAAAATTCAGAATCCGACGCAGCTCTACGTTCGTAGCTAGACCCTATAGAAGATTCGGAATGCTAGCTAGCATTATTACCTAGTAGAGAATAATATTTAGACACCGACGCAGATTCACATTTATAGCTAGGCTCCTTGTCTATCGTACTTCGTGTCTAATCTCGTTTAGGTAATGCGAGAGCTAGAAGTGTAGAAGAATCGTACTTAACTACGAGGGGAGTCGTAGGGCTCGATGAAGTAGATAAGGCATACTAGCTGCATATAGGATTGCCCTTCCGCTCCTAAGAGGCAGCTCCTATATCGCCGCTACCGGCAGCTTTGCTATTTTTACGCAACTTGCCTAAGTCCTTGTCCTTACGATTACATTCTTAAGCAGCAGTGTCTACCTTATCGCTAGCACTTGTTCCCTATTCGAATACGTCCTCTATTTAGTTTTCTATACAGCCTTCGTCGGCTAGTAGCGCCCTAGGCTCATTTTGCAATCGTAAACTTTTCGCTCGTCGTCCTGCTCGTTTTATTAGCCCTAGACACGGAGCACACTGCCGGCGTTGCTAGCAGATTTTCTCTAGAGTATAATGCTCTACCTCCTATAGCTGCTATTCTTTCTCTTTCCTTAGGTGTCTTATATTACTATCTCGACGATATGCTTAGCCTTCTCGGAGGAGCCGTAGTGCTTCGGGCTAGGCGATATTGTAATCCGCGATTACTCTTAGGGATTCTAGAAACTTAGCGCTCTTTAAGCCGTCGCGCCTAAAAAGTGCGTATATAGCGCACGGGCGCAGCTGCTAGCAGTCGGTCAAGTTCTTTATATACGTACGTGCTGCGCGTAGGACGTACTACAAGTTAACTAGCTTATTAAGATGCTGCTTAATGTTCTCGTTAAGGAAGTTATCGAGACTAGATCGCGTCGGCGCGTAATTATTGTCGGTAAAGCGATGCTATGCTTCTCGATATTGCTACAAGACGCTATCTTATTAGTCTACGGCTAATACGGCCTACGATATCGCACCTGCAGCCTCCTGCTCGGCTTAGAGTAGGTTATTGTTGTTGTTATTATAGTTTAGTTGCATCCTTTATAACAACACGGCGCGCGAAAGCCCTTAACAACAGTTGCCCGAGTCTGCTAAGCCTTTAACAACAGTTGTTCGAGTCTGCTAAGCTTTTAACAACAGTTGCCCGAAGCTTTTTATAACAGAATCCTATCCGCAACGAGGAGCGCAACGTCTATTATAACATTTTAGACCGGCATTCCGCTACGACCGGCTTTCCGCGATCCTACCTAAGGCACGATCTTAGCAACTTGCTAAGATGCAAAATAGGTATAGCGCTATTAAAATTCGCTTAACGCCGTACGGTTATACTATTATATACTCGTAGTCTATATATTCTATATTCGCTAATTACGACTCTACTATTTCGCATTTTGCGTATTAGTTGTAAGCAAATTTCCCTATTACTTTTATTACATTCGTAGCTTTAGATTAGCTAGTAAAGTAATGTACTATATATACTTGTTTACTACTTTTTATATTATTAGAAGCTTTAGAAAGGTCGTAGTTTGCTTTATATACTTTACTTACTTTACTATTTATAAGATAAACGTATATAAGTTACGTACGTACGTAGGTAGTAATACGCGTAACGTTATATTTCGCGGTTAAACCTAAACTTCTTTCTACTATATAATACTAAACTATATTCTAATACTATATCTATATACCGCGATATACTATACCTATATACCGCGATATACTATATCCCTATACTACGATATACTATATCCGCGACTTACGATATATTTACGATCCGTATACTACTTAGAAAGTCGCCTATTATAATCCTATAGTATACCGCTAAAAGGAGCCTAGTAGTAAGTAGCGTAGCCTACGACTATTTATAATACGTACCTTTAGCTCGCCCCTAGCGAGATACTATATATCGGTACGCGTAATACGAATAGTACTTACTCCTTTAACTAGGTCGATTCTTAGTATTATAAATAAGTAACGCGTACGTAGATGCTAGATATAAGACTTAATAGGTTCGATAAAGAGCTAAGTCTATCTACGTAAATCCGAATAGTTTTATATAGTACGCTAAGCGCTAAGTAGTAGGTTAGAGTCGCGTAGGCCGAACGCCTAAGGCTAGCGCTTTCTACCTAGGGTATAGCCCTTTATACTTAGGATAACGATTATATTTTTCCCTTTCCCGGACTAAGTCGTAATACGCTACTTCGAGGTAATAATATATCGGCTATAGAGAATCGCATTTAGCGAGCTATTAACTTTTGTTAGCGTAATCTTTCTAAGCGTTAGAAGCTATAAGTTATTCGTAGATTACGCCTTACTACTTTTCGTAGTATACGAGTCTAACTTTGCTTTAGGAATATTATCGAATAGCTCGCGGATTAGGGTCCGGTATAGTAGCCTCCGGAGCCTATAAACCTATAAGCAAATTTAGCGGCTTTCTTTAGCTATCTAATTCGTAAATACTAGTATAGTAACTCGTAATTTCCGAAGTACTATAGCTACTACGCTAGTAATCGCGTAATATCTAGCGCTCCTATAGGAAATTATCTAGAAGATCTAGCTATAGTTATTATTAGCGAGGATAGTATAGGTAGAGGTCGCGCGCGTTTACGCTATAGTTATAAAAAAGCGGCTATTATCTTTAAAGTAAGTCGCAATTAGCGAGTTATCCTCTTCGTAGTTCGCTAATAATATATAGCTTTAGGCGATTAAGATAGGTAAATAGACTAGGCGCTACCTAAATAACGGCCGTATTATAGAAATAGATATATCTCGCTAGTTTCTAATAATAGGATATATATAGGCTATCGGGATATACTTAGAGAACGCGAATAGCGATACGGCCGTAGATAATAGTAATCGGCCCGCAAATATTAGTTATAGTCTATAGTATTATCTCTTATATTTAAACTAGGTATACTATATCTACCCTTCCTATCTTCGTATAATACTAACTCTTCTTAGCTAATCCGTACGGACTTCGCTACCTAGTCCGTTTCTAATCGCTTTTATACGTTGCCTCGACGCTAGCTCGGAAATACCGGTATAGTCGTATATAATAATACGCTCCTAGGTAGAAATCCTATAGCCTAGCTACTAGGCGGTATCTAGGTCTTACTATAGTTTGCGACTTATAGTTCTTACTATAGTTTGCGACTTACCTTCCTTAGTAATTCTACTAGTCTCCTCTCCCGATCCTCCGAGCTATAGGATAAGATAGGTAGCTCGTTATCTACGAAGGTAACCCGTATATATATTATAGATTTATAACTAAGACCTTGCAAACCGCGAGGTTCCCTCCGAGTTATAGGGTAAGACGGGTAGCTTATTACTTACGAAAGTAACCTATAGGCTTATTAGATACTATAAGAGGCAATATATATAGTATACGAGGAAGTCTCCTAAGGCGTTAACTTTTTTCTTAACTTTAAACGAGAATACTATATATAATTAGTAAGTATTAATTAATACGTATATTTTTATAATCCCCTTGTAGTCTATAAGTACTTACTATCTTCCCCTTTCGTAGTTTGCGATTACTTACTATCTTCCCCTCTTATAATATATAATTACTTACTTTTCCCTTCTCGTAATTTACGATTACTTATAGCTAGAAATATAATATAATCGTATAATACGACTATCGCTAGCCTCTTCGAAACCTTACTTTACTATTCGATTTTTAGTATTCGACGGCCTTATACTCTACGACTATAAGTCCCTCGTAGGTTCTAGAGTATATAGGCCCGCGGATATATATATCGTAGTATATTTTCTAAAAATCCTAGGCTATCTCCTTTAGAGAATTCGTATTCGATAATCTAAAAACCTAACTATTTTAACTCTTATACTCGCCTTTTGCGATACCTATCTTAATTATATCTAACAATCTATCTAACTCTAAGCTCTCGTAGCTCGCGAATACTCTTAATACCGATGC